CCAAATGAGGTTTCCTTCTCTGTCCTTCATCCCATCTTTAATTTTGCAGTTTTTTATGGATGCACAGTTTGATGTAAGTAGTATAAGTCAAACAGCTCTGAGTAGGAGGCAGTTCTGGCTGTATCTTCCCTGTTCCTCAGACTACACTGGCAAGGAATATTTGCTGCACATTTTTAGCAAGAATTCTCCATAGAGCATTATCTCAAACGTCTCTCAGTGTGAGCAGTTGGGTGGTGAAATCTGTTCCATGTAGCTGGAATACACAGTGCTGAATCCAGAGGAGAAAAGGATGGGATTTTTTTTTTTTGAAGCTCCACTTTTTACTTTACACAGCATTTACCACAGTCCATCGTACATGAGGAGGATTAAATCAGCAGTTCCATGAATAATTACACTGGATAATAACAACTGGCCAGCATTCATGCTTTTTGCTGTCAGTTGTAAATAACTAAGATGGCAGTTCAAGGTTTTGCAGGACTCCTGTTTGCCCCCAAGCACACCCGGAGGCCAGTTGTGCTCCCTGGTTGTACTTGCATTGTTTCCTAGCTGTGCTGTGCCTGGAATAGCACACTTGAGTTCTGAGTGTGCAGCTGGGGATGACTTTCTGTGGCTAAGCTTCCTTGTTGAAGTATTTGCTGTAGGTTGTCTGACTTTAAATACAACACTCTAGTGACTCTCTCATTTTCTTCTTGTTCCTAACAACATCATTCAGCAGGTACTCTTGATTTAGTGAATTGTGTTGGTTGTTTTTATCTTTTGTCATCAAGCATGTTTGTGCACTTGAAAGAATTAATTACTTGGAGGCATTTGGCTAAAAACTCTGGTTCCTTACCTGCAGTAATAGAGTTGCAAGGTGTCTATTGCCCTTGTCCTAAACCTTCCAGACAGAGCTGTATATTTTACTGTGTTGTATGGGATATCACAAAACTTACACCATTCTATCCCAGACCACTGTGAAGACACCAGTGACTTTAAAATACCTTTTAGTTCAGGAGAAGTGACATGGCACAAAGTGCCAGGTTTTCTTCTAAAGTCGTTGCTTGGTCTTCAAACTTCTGTGAAGGTGATGAACAGTCAAAGTCTCACAGCTCTGTCTGTGTTTGGTTATTGGCCTCTAAATGGCACAGAACCACCAGGCTGGCTATAATTATATGATGGCCTTGGTAGATGTAACGCTTTTTTTTAACTGTAAATAAAAATTCTTGTCTTACAGAAGTGGCAAGGACTCAACACTGTCTTGAGAGGGTGACTTTAATGCTGTTGTTACTCTGTGGGAAGGATTTTAATGTATAAAATGTCCTATGTCATACAGGAAAGTCACTTTAAGAGTGACATTTTCTTTCCATATGCCCTTTACAAAAAATGAGAGGGGACTGGGGCCAGAAGGGTGCTGAGTATCCCAAATGCCATGGCTTTGCTGTGGTTCCATTGTTTCTCCTCCCTGCTCCACACTCAGCAAGGCAAAGGGACCCAGAGAACCAGACCCAGTCGTGTGACAGTGCCACATCTGGCATGGGACAAACTGCTCTCTCTCCCTGCCACAGTTCATCCTCTGTGGCACAGAACTGACTCCCCTTCTGTGTGCTATTGTAAGAGTGCATTCATTAATGTTTCTAAAGCTTTCAGAACAGTGGCAGTGGAGCCTGTGCAGTGTGAAGTGACTTCTTCTGTTCTCTAGTGACTGCAATTTGTATAGTAGATATGCTCTGATTCAAAAGTGAAAAGCAAGTCAGTAACAAATCCTTTAAGATTTATGATTTAATAATGTCATTGCTAATAGTTAGAATAATTCTACTGTGCCTTCATTATGATTTCTTTTTTTTTACTTGGTTCATTTTTATAACCTGGAAGAAAGATTTAATTTTAGAAGTTTCAGTTGACAAAGACATGCTAGTGCTAGATACGTATTTCAGATCATTGTCATTGTACTCTATTTTTAAATTCAAGTGCCAGCCAACTGAAAGAGCACCCTGTGTCTATGCTGGGTGTTCTGCATCCGTGCTACAAAGCTGAATTCTTCCAAGCTTCAGCACAAGGCCAGCCAGTTAACTTTTATATTTTTTTCCTGTTTAATGAAGGGAAATATTCTAGCACCTTTTCATTATCACAGAACTCAAACTGGTCATGAAAACAATCCCCCTCCCTCCAGAGGCCTGTGCAGGCATTGGCCATTGTTAAGATGCTTGCCTATCAACAGCCACTCGAGAAAGAATTTTAAATGGTTTTGTGACGTCAAGGAGGCACAAGAAAACACAGTCTGGTGCCAAACTGCCTCCATCATTGAAAGCACACAGTAAGAAACAGATAACACAGAAATAAATCTTTTGTGCAGTAGCTATCTTATGATATGCTCTAGCGACTCCAGTAAGTGAGCTTGTCGGGTATAGGAATAGCTGAAGAAGATGAACTTTCAGAGCCTCATTTTCTAATTTATGATTAATGAAAAGCCAGCCTAATCTGTCTGACTTCCTGCTGTCTGGACACGATGTCTGCGGGGAGCTTGGACCTCGCAGAGGGAAACGCCCTGACAAAGTTCCAGCCTCCGAAAGGGAACAGTTTGAGTACGGTGGACAAAAAACTGTATCTCTTGAACGAAAAGATGGACAAACTGCTGCATTTCCAAGAAGACCTGACAGGCAAACTGCAGCGAGTTGACAGAGGCATCGCTGCTGCAGGAAATGGCATTGAGCAGCTCTCAGTAGCCCCAGCAGCTCCAGGTGACACAGGTGCAGTGCAGAAAGGGCTGCAGGCACCCGACTGTGCTGACGTGCAGAGCATCTGCTCAGAAGTGTTGAGTTTGCTGAAAGCTGCCCAGCTAGATGCCTCCAAGCATAAGGAGAGGCTGGCAAAGATAGAGAAAAGGGTTGATACCCTGGATAAAGTGATTACATTTGTGGGAGAAGTATTAAAAAATTCTAAAGTAGTGGATTTCATTCTCAAAGGCATTGTGCCCTGGAAGAAGGGGAGTCTGCTGGAAATCCCTGTTGAGGTTGGTTTAGTTTTACTGTTCTTCATTTCACTTTATGACATAGCAGGGCTTGAGGCTCTCCTGTCAATCTCTTGCATGATGTTTAATTCAAGTTTTCCTTTCTGTGTTGCTGGTACAGGTTACTGCTGAGACCTTTGAATTGCAAGGCTCTTAAGGCAGGGAGCAAGCTCAGAACAGTGTCTGAGGCTCCTGAAGGGTGCTGGGCACTCCTGTAATGACTGAGAGAAGCAGATTGCTACTGGAAAGGAAAATTCAACTTCTACCAGTGCTCAAAGCTCAGCAATGTCACCCAAATTAGTGACTGAATTGAGGCCCCAGTGAAAAGTATGAGTAACATACTAGAAGCTTTGGGGTTTCTTTGAGAGAAGCTTCTATTTTCTTGTTCATTCACAAATTCTGAACACAGCACGAGTTCCTGAGACCTGTGCTGACTTATGGTCACGTTACTGAGCAGATTTACATGTCCTTAGATATCTTAGTTGTCTTTAACTACATTTTTGTGATGTAGCTGTGACTTCATCAACTCCATTGACGTCGTTCACGCCTAAAATCAGTTCCCAGACATCAGTTCCCAGGCATTTCTTAATTATTGGGGACAGTGAGTGAGGAACAGGCAAGACCAGTACTTAGCTGATCTGGTGTTTTAAAATATATCAACCTTGTATTTTAAGAATTACAAGCGTCTGGAATTAGTTTGAGGTAATGGGAGTTTCCATTTTTCACTATGGCTTCTCCTCCACCATGGAGATGGAAGAGAGGTAAAGCTGGAATAGGTTTGTTCACTCCAATAATCTCCATGTGTGTAGAGATGTGATTACAGTAATGAGAATTTAGCTTAAATGAAAATGTCCATTTGTATATTAATCCAAATATTTTTTCAGCAAAACTGTAAAATGTTTTGGTGGGAAGGTACATTTTAGAAGAACAGGGCAGTGCTTGATGGCAATGTACCTTTCCAGGCTTTCACTGCTCTCCTGGTCTACCTTTTTTAAGTGCCAGAGGCTGACAAGTGAGCTGGCCTGTTAGGAGACAGAATTTATAAAGTGCTTCCATTAGTGTTGAGAAGAATAAATCATGCATTAGTAATCAACCTTAAATCTGGATAGAGATAAAGCTCATACTTGCAGTTTCAACTTCAGTTCTACAGGTTTTTGGAGAAGTGGAAAAGTCTGATGTGTTTTGGGTAAAGCTGTGTTATTACAGTCACTGCAAAATGCCTGGAGACAGATACTGTCCTTTGCTTGATTTTGTGGATAGGCAGAGATTGAGGTGGAATAATCTGCTGGTGACCACCTGGTGGGCTGGGAGGGGTGGAGGAGTGTCCCCCAGGCTCTAACCTGTGCCTTGCTTGGAGAACAGTCAGGGTGGAGTGGGTGAGCAGCTTTGTGGCAACCTCCAGGTTTGCAATATGACCATCACTGTCCTCCTTGTTTGTTTCTGGTCAGGAGCACTTTTTGAAATTGGAGCATGAGGTCAATTATAAGACCATAAGATTAAGTCTGTGCTTTGATCCCAGACTGCTGAGTGATATTGAATTAGGGAGGTTGTGTGTGTACGTGACCTGGCTGGGAAATGCAGCAAAGCTCAGGTGAAATAAGAACAAATTACCTTGTGCTGAGCCACGGGCTAACCTGGCTCTGGCTTTTGCAGCCTGTTGTGTGACAGCAGCACAGACATGTCCAAAGAGCTGCCCACTTGCAGGGGAGCACAGAAAAAGAACTTGCTGCCTATTCCTGTTTTCCAGCCTTTGCTCTTTGTACCAGGGCTCTGCTTATCATGGGATGGACTGGGAGTGGGGAGGTGGTGTTTGCATTTCTGGGTGAAGCTGTTTGTTGACAGCATTCCAGGGATGCCTTGGGAATGCTTATGGAAGAAATTTTGTGGGGTTGGAGTCAACAAAAGACTATGAATTGAGCTTCCTAGGTTCCAAACCTCTAACTTCTTACTTAAAAAGCAGAAAAAACGCACCAGCATTAAACTGTCACTTACCCAAGGCTTTCTTTGCATGTAGGATTGTGCCAGAATAATGTTCACCCTGGTCATTGTTGCAGGTTTGCTTAGAGCTGTAATAAAAAGGGTAATGATTTTTTCCTACTTTTACTCTTTGGGAATGGGGGGTGGGGAGGCTCTGTTCAGTCTGTAGGGTTGGTGCATGAAATCCTTAACTGGTTTTACTAACAGGAGAAGGGCTGATGTGCAGCTCTCTGGTAATCAGTTACCTGCAGAAACACTTCACATGTTGCTTATTTGCCTGTGCAGATCAGGATAGGAGGCTAGATCATCACTAGAGTTTTAACTGTATGCCAACCACTGGAAATATTATGCTTTTTCCTAATTTTGTGTAATGCTTTTTGCTGTATAGAAGTCATTTGTAATTTGATTTTCCATGTATTGCTGTTTGAAGTCTTTAGTGATCCTGTTACCAAATATCCCTCCTCAAAATAACTGGGGGAAAAACACTGCTTAAAGATAACAATCTGCTTCTGTTTTTAATCATTCTAAAGGTGACATGTGAAATGTCAAGTACATACACAAAAGTTGATCTAAAGCTAGAGGTCTTTTTTTGGTATCACCTCTTTTCAAGTCAAATAATGAATTTTTAGATACCTCGAGACAAATATGTTTTGACAAATATATTCAGAAACATTACTTTTTGTTCTGTCACCAGCCAAAAAGCAACAGAAATACAGCATCCTTTCTTTTTCTACTGTCTCATGTTTCACATGTCATACTTTTTAATCAATGTGAGTAAAGACGACAGGAGGCAAAACCCTGACAGTGGAAATTTTGGAAAGCAGTTAGCTAATGTATTAATCTGTTCCATTGTTTTAGAAGGATGCCTGCCTGCAAAGGCAGGGAGAGATTGGAAGAAGGAAGTAAACACAGCACTGACTAATAATTCAGAAGTGTAACTATCCCTTTTACAGAGTCTGAATGCCTACATAGTTGCAGGAACCTAGTGGGAAATAGGCACTCTTGGCTGGAACTGTAATTTCTGTGTTCCCCTGTCATTTTTAGGCCAAAGATAAGTCTGAGGAGAGTGGTGCAAAACCTAAGCATGTGCTTAGTAACAGAGGAACCCAGACTGAAAGCAAGAAGCCTCTGGAAGGTATGTATCACTCCAAGCATGCTACAAGCTTTGACTCTAGAATGTGCAGCAGACAAACTGGAAATTAATAGCTTGCTATTTCCTACTACCTGAATTACTCAAATGTAACTGAGTAACTTTGCCCCTCAGAACTGGGAAAATAGACTTGTTCTCACTGCCTTCACAAGATGATTTATCCCCAGGATCAAGCTAGAAGAAAAAAGCTAGGAGCACCTTTGTTTAGCTGAAGAGCTGGTGTTTTCTGAGTTGTGTTTCAGTGAGCTGAATTCAGAGAGCAGAGCTTGTTTGGAGATACTGTGAAGATAGTGGCCCTATCACATAGCAAACCTCCTAAGTTCTTTTCCATTAATATGTCTGAAGCAGCCCTCCCTCTTCCCCCTCTCTGAAAAAGGGATGTGTTGACATGGGGAATATCTCTTTTTGATCAGCAAGTTTCATTGGCCTGTCAGGGCCAGATTCCTATTTAGGGTGCATCTGTCAGGGCATTGCCCTGCTGCATCCACTGTTCGTGCCTGTGGAGTTGCAGCAGGGGTGAACGTGATGTTGAGCAGGCCCTGTCATGCTGTTGTCTTCACAAATTGTCAGTGAATCCTTTGCCTTATGGGCAGTCCCCTTTTTTAGCTTCATCACTTTGGAAGTGACAAAAACAAAGCAAATGGTCACAATTCTGACTCAAAAGCGAGGTGGGGTCATGAGCAAACCTTGGCTGCTGGTGGTCTGGATGTGCTGAATGTTAATAATGGGAAGGTGATGGAGAACCTTTAGTTCTTTAGTGGAAACTGCAAGTGGGCACTGTCCTGTGCCTCGGTGTGTCTCTACCCCTCTAACTGGGGAGGGGCAGGTATTGGGATCAGGAAGGTCCTGCAGTGCCTTAAACTACCTGTTACATTTGCCCACAAAGTGATTTCAGATTTTAAATACAATGAACTTGAGCCTTGCAGGTTTTTTGTTTGCTTTAAGGAATCCAAGTTCAATCTGTGGCACTGCTGGAAAGCCACCAGGGCAGGTAAATCTCTGGGTTTAAGCCATGAGCATTAGTAATATCTGATGATGTAAAGATTTTAAACCTTTTGGGGGATTCTTGCTATCTTTCCAGGTGTAACTCTAAAGGTTCTTTTGAGAGATGTGTTGATTTATTGCTTCTCTGTTTTGCCATCACTTTTGCCAAGGATAGTTTATTAATGGATTATTTTATTCAGAGGCAAAAATCGTGAAAAAGGTGGATGAAATCAAGGGAGCATGTGAGAAGGTGAACGCTTCCAGTGCTGTAACCAACAAAGCTGACTCCAAACCCCAGCTTAAAGACAGGACAGCACAGCAGCAAGGGCTGGAAGGTGCTGCCAAAACACAGAGCTCGAAGAGCTGCCCACAGCAGAAGGACATCGATGGCAGAGCTTCCAATCAAAACAATGGGCTTCCCTTGGTGCCTCAGGATCATGCAGGCAACCAAAACGCTGCTGCCAAAGCTCAGAACGTGGACAGAGCCCCAGGCCTTGCCGAGAGCCACAGGCAGCTTGTTGATCAGAAACCTGGGAAGAAGGAAGGGAGACCTGGAGCAGGGAGTGTGGCAGCCCGGGAAGCCGTGCCCTCCACGTCCCGGGCCGTGTCTGACGCGGGCTGTGAGGTGACACACACCAGGTAAGCCTTGCCGGTGGCTGGCTGTGGGACATGGCACCTCCTCATGGGCTAGAAGGGAGGAAAGGAAAGCCAGGCCATTAAAGGAGGCAGCTGCTGCCTGGTGGGACAGGAGTGGAAGGACCTTACAAGGGTTAAGGCAGAAGGCTCAGGGCTCTGTGTAAAGCTCTGTGCAGCCCAGGGGGCAGATGGGAGGGAGGGCTTTGAGCCATCACATCTCTGTGTGCTGACATCGACAGGTGACCACCACGCAGGAGCTCGAGTAATCATAAACCACTCACTCCCTCCCAACTCCTTGGTTTCTGTAGCCATGGGGGTGAAAGGAATTTGAAGTATTTGTTAGTGTGTGACAAAAACCAAAACTTGTGTTTGTTGTCCTCAGTGTTTTCAGTGCCTTGGCCACATAAACATTGTTCATTTATTCATCTCTATCAGGCCAATATTTTCCTCATATAGGTGTTTCATAGTCCATTTTCCTTTGGATTATTTATCTATGATTTATTTTAATCCCATTTATATAGAATTTAAAAAGCCCACACAACAGAAAACAACAAAACCCCACAACCAAAAGACCCCTACCAACTAAACCCCAACAAATGGAACTTCCATGGCAGATTTTAACTGCCAGTATCTTCTGTCTGGGTGGGTGGCTGTGAAGTGGTTTATGTGTGTGTGTGGGGGTGATAGACACTCATCCATCCACACCCACAAATGTGTGTATGACTTTGGGTGGGGAATTTCTCCATGGTTCATGTGTACAGATTTGGTGTGTGAGCCCCAGGTTTTGGTTTGGGGATGAGGGAGGCCAGCAGGTAATGGGAAGGCAGGAGCTGCAGTGAACCCCAGGGGCAGCTGCAGCCCAGGGCATTGTCAGGGTTGGGAGTGTGAAGTCACATGAGGGTGGTAAACACATCTCTAAAATGGATGCAACTCTTAATGAAGTTTGTAAGCCCACACAGAGGCACTGAAGGAACATTGTGTTCCCCAGCTTGGAGAAATGCCGAGAGTCCCACCGATTTCACTTGTCTAGATAGCAGAGGAAGTGTTTGCTCAGAGCTGGCTTCAGCTGCTCTCACAGCTCACACCAGAGCAGCTTGGATCCACTGCACAGCACCAGCGTGTTAAAGGTGCAGAAAATGAGACGTTTCAGACTCTTGTTTTACGAAAACAGAAACATTTTCTTTTATGTATCTTTTGTAATGAGGTTGCTCCACCAAAAGAGGCAATAACCTTTGTGAAAATGAGGTATGTTCTCTCCCAGATGTCACAAACTGTCTTCACTTGCTATTGTATAAAATCTACTTTACAACTTCACAAGTTTCAGTTCAGCCTCAGTAAAATCAGACTGCTCATGACAGCCGGAGCAGTAACAGTTGACTCAAACATTATCACATGAATGTCTTTGATGGAGTTTAGGAGCACAGAGAATTGGTTCTAACCTGTATTCTTTTCAGGCAACCCAAGAGGGAAAAAAATCATCAAACTTTTCCAGCAGTAAAAATGCCAAGGAAAATAGTATTGATGGTGTGAGAGAGTTTATCAAAGTTAGATTTTTAAGAGAAAGCTGTGGAATGCTATCCCATCAGAAGACCCAAACACAGATGGCTGAGTGTGCAGGTCAGCCAGCTGGAAGACGATACAAACCATCAGATTTGTAGAGCCATATGAGCAGCCAGCCATTCAGATAATCAGCCTGTCATTTGTGAAGGCAATCACTTTCCTCTCTCTGCCAGATGAGTGTTTTTTTATTAGACCAACTGTAATAATTGCAAAAAGTGGGTAAGTTTTCAAATGTGGGATTAACTCTTTGCAGGGTGAGACATTTTGTTCAGCAGAAGGGCAGACATGTAGAGAAATGAGGACAGAGAAAGAATCAGCATGCTTTTTGGTGCTCTCCCCTTAGTGTTTGTGAGCAAGATTGGTACAGTTAGGTTTTATCAATACTATAGAAATTTATGGACTTGGAAATATACAGATTTTTCTTCCCCCACAAAGTTACAAAACCCAGGCTGGCCAGCTGCATCAATATCAAATGTCTCCTATTTGCTCTGCAGGTTATCTATCAGTGTACATATGACTGACATGAAAGAAAAGATTGAGATGGCCAAGGAGGGAAATGTAAGTGACAGCAGAGGTAAAAGTCTCAAAGTGAAATCCACACCAGCAGACTTGAAAGGAGTCAAACAGCTGCCTGACAAATTAAAACTTCAACAGAGTCCTAAAAACATCAGCTCCAAGCCAAATGCAGAAGTTAAACGGGACAATAAGCAAAATGAACTTGCACCTCAAACAGGGAAGCAACAGCCATTCCTGAGCAAGCCCAAACCAGGTGAAAAAGCTGAAGAGAAATCAGAATTAAAATGTGAGCCCATAACCTCACAGAACACCTCTGCAAAGGAGCCTGTGAAAGATGCAGGGGTAAAAGTGAAAATCCATCAAGAAACAGCAAAAGCAGAAAAGCCCCCAACAGTTGCCAAGTGTGAGAGGAGAGAATGTGAGACTGCAGGGGGAAGCAGACACGATGCTCAGCAGCCTGCAGGAAAAGCACCAGAGAAGACCAAGTCTCTGGAAGCTGGCAGAGCTCTTCCCACTCGAGGAGAAATCATTGGTAAGTGGAAACTTGTACATTGAGGATTTTGTGCTATTCCTGCCTGTTGTATAGACAATAGGAGCAGTAGAACACCCCTGTCTTACACTTCGAGAACGTTTTGCATTGGGTACCTTTGACTATGTGAATAACAATTCACAGATTCTTTTAATAGTAACATTCCTTTTCAAGTGTGTTTTGGGGAAAAAGATAATATAAAATAGCATGAAGTGTATGTGTGATGAGAAGTACGAGGAATTTTGGAAAAAATCTATCTTCTTTAGATGAAGCATTTGCTCCTTCAGATAGAGTGTGCAAACCAAGCACACTTTAACAACTATGGACTGGAGATCCAGAGCACAGGAAAGTACTGCAGGAAATGGTTCCTGTTGTGGCCTGTTGTGTTGTTGGCCATGGATCTCTTGGTTCCTGAGGGATCATTTGGTTGCACTGTCTCAGGGAATGTTCTCTCCTGGCAGCACATATGTGTGTATGTTCCAGAATGTACAGACATGGGCACATGACCCGACTGCTCTGCTGTTCTGAGCAGGGTTGGATACATGTTAAATTGCAGCCTGAGATACCTGGAGATTAATTATAAAATTGCTTTCAGTGGGCACATAAAAAATGGGTTTAATGAAGCTTTACCCTAGAAAACCTTGGACATTAAGTGATCACAGTTAACTAATTCAGTTTACCACAAACAGACTAAATTTAATAGTTGTAATGCTAATAATTGCACCTTTAATTTGGAAATTGTCTGCAAAATTCTTGCTGCTAAGAGGAATGTCAAGATTTTATCAATCACGATCCTCATTCCTGAGTGCTGTGTAATTTTGGTGATTTTTCTGTCGTTCAGCAATTAAAATATGATGTGTAATTTTTTCAAACTTTCAGGTAATATTTCCTGGTGGCCCTTTCTGTTAATGCATAAACTAAGATGTTGGTCCCCTAAAGGTGTTCAGTGAGTTTACTCTGTTAAGAAAACAGAGTGGAGCTTCAGGAGGTGGGATCCTGATCTCAGTTCTGGGACTGTCTCGTCTGTAAAAGGGATTTAGCAGTGAAAGCCCCTCACGTCCTATGGGGTGGAATCCTTGGAGTGAGGAGGTGAAAGAGGGCAGTGATGTGTGCAAAGTGTCACTGAGCAGCCTGTGTCCCCTGCAGATGACAGCCCCTCTCCTCCAGCCCCTTTCGAGCATCGCATCGTGAGCGTCAAGCAAGGAGAGGTGACCCCGAGCTACTCCGTGTGTCGGCACCAGGTGCTGGGGGGGTAAGTGTGGCTGTCCCCAGGGGAACAGTGTGGCTGACCTGTCCCCGTGGGGGTCAGTGTGGCTGACCTGTCCCCGTGGGGGTCAGTGTGGCTGACCTGTCCCCACGGGGGTCAGTGTGGCTGTCCTGTCCCCGTGGGGGTCAGTGTGGCTGTCCCCATGCTCTCCTGCTGGCCCCAAGGTGTGTGGGTGAGACGCACACAGGCTCTCTGCAGCCACAGGGAGTGGGTTCATCCTGGAGCCCTTTGGGTGATCACAGCTGCTCCTTCATCAAGGATGTCCCTTTGATGGCTGATTTCTGCCCCAGATGCCTGTCTGCCATCCTGGTGACTGTTTCTTTCATTTGTTATAATAATCCTGGCCTCAGTGTTGTAAGAAGAACCTGTACCCTTAAAGCAGACAGATTCAGAGCATTTGAAAAGCCAACAAAGCCCATTAGTTCAGGCAGCTTCCAAAATATTTTTTTATGTGCTGAGCTGCACATTAAAGAAAACTAAGGAAGAGTTATAATTATTTTGACCTTACATTTGGTTTTCACTCATAGGAAGTCTGCAGCTGCTTCAGCTTTTGTATTCGTGTATCCTTACTTATGTGACAAGAAGGCTTGATTTACACATTGATCCACATACAAATATGGCTTAATAAGTATAAGCAATGTGATGCAACACAGGGAAGATGGGGTTTGGGAATCATCCCAAGGGGCATTAACATATCTGCGTGACATGGGGGAGAATTTACAGCACGCCAGAAATGCAGGCTCTGCAGTGGCTACAGTTACTGGTCTTATGGTCATTTAAAAAGTTCTGAGATCAGGACAGAAATATCCTTGTTAATATACCCACTAACACATCCCTGAAGGACAGTGAGGGGGTCCTGTTACAGAAGGGAGCCAGAGCACGGCCAGGCCATCATACCCAGCAGGACCAACAGGGCTTAATATTTTAATGTAAGCACTGAACAACTGGCTGGAAAGATAAAACTAATCCTTCATAAGCTGAGAGAAAGAGGAGCTCCATGCTGCTGGCCACCCGAGCCCGTTCACTTTGTCCTGGGCTATTTTTGCTCATGATAAGAATAGTTCCAGGAGAGCTTTCTGTGCTGGGCTCTGCTGAGCTGCTCTCCCATCTTTTCCTTGGCATCCACAGGGGGCGTTTTGGGCAAGTCCACAAGTGCACGGAGATATCGACGGGGCTCAACCTGGCAGCCAAAATCATCAAAGTGAAAGGAGCCAAAGAGAAGGTAACCACAGTGCAGGGAGCTCTGACCCTGCCTCCCTGCCAGAGCCAGCACCTCTGCCATCCTTGGGTACCATCAAACACTGCCACTGTCAATCTTCACCATCCCCTGTACTCATGATTAAACCCCCAATCCCCTTGAGATCTGTGGTGTAGCTGTTGTTGGGCTTTATAAATAGTTCTATTTTAGTATGTTGAAATCTAATTTTGTTCATTTTTTTGTTACTGTATTATTTTTTTCAGGAGGAAGTAAAAAATGAAATTAACATCATGAACCAGCTAAATCATGTGAATCTCATCCAGCTTTATGATGCTTTTGAAGCCAAAAATAATATCACTTTGATCATGGAATAGTAAGTTTAAATAATCCCAGGAATTGTCAGATGTTTGGGTTTTCTCAGGTCACTAAAGCAAATAGGGAATGATAATTCTGAGCCATTAAGAAGTAGTGGTTTCCCAGCCTAAGAGGGAGCTGATCTCACTTTCAGAAGGAAAAAAAACCAGTGTTTAAAGGTAGTTTTTTCATGTTAAAAGCTTGTCAGAGCTTTATTTCTGACTAATTTTCTCTTAACTTCTGTGCAGATTTAAGTTCAGTTGTCAGCTCATGTGGAACAGCTTTCAGTTTGAGAAATTCCATTCAGTACATTTTGTAGGTTGAAGACTTATTTTCCCATGACTAGTAAGATGAGTGAATAACAAATACTTTAGTACTCCCTGTAGGTTCTCCAGGTCCCATAGGATCACCAGGTCTTGTGAGTTGGAGTTTGACATGTATGTCCCCAAATACTAGTGACAACTTTCCCATTTTTGAATTTAGATTGATACTTAATTTCAAGAGAAATAAGTGTCTTCAAGTCATTGAGGCTGCTGATACACTTCATATTGGATGTTTTGTTAGGACCCTCAATTACAGAGCTTAATTCCCAACTCAGAAATAAATCATGCTAATGCAAGATTTTAGGGCTTTTAATGCTTTTCTGTGTGAAAATTTTAGTCTTGATGGTGGGGAATTATTTGACCGGATCACAGATGAAAATTACCACCTGACAGAGCTGGATGCCATCCTGTTCACCAAACAGATTTGTGAAGGAGTCCATTACTTGCACCAGCATTACATTCTCCACTTAGATCTGAAGGTCAGTTCTTTGTGCTCTCTGTGATTTAGTGGTGCTGGTTCAGGCACCACAGAGTCTCTGATTACTGAGGAGTAATTTCTCATTTCATGGACTCACCTCATAAAGGAATAGACTTAATAGCTACAATAAATGGAACTTTAGAGATTGATTACTTTTTTCCAATTTCTATTCAGTAGCTTGCATGGAAACCAGGATTTTGGGCTTTTGCCTTTCTTAAATCAGCAGCTTTTCATTTTCTGTAGCATTAACCAATGCCCTTTTATCACTGATGAAAAAAAACCCCACCCTAAACCTCCTTGGCTAGAAATGCTCACAATCTTCCCTCCATTCCCCCTGCCCCATTTTAACAGTGTACAAATACCTGTTCAATCATCTTCTATAGTTTGTACTTTTTACTGCCTGGAAACAACCTGCAGCAAAATTGCAATGTTTTCCTGATGGTCCCTTAATAACTGATATTTTTAAATAGAAATACAAACTGTTCTTTTTCCTGCCTGTTTATATAGCACCTTACACAAATGGCATCAGACCAGGCTGGCTCATAGACAGTTCTGCATTTGTAATATGTTTGGACCCCATTTTCCCCCCATCCCCACCTTGAAAAATATTCTCATTGGAAAAAAAAAACACGAACAAAATTTTGTGGTGCATTTGATCTGGTTTTTGTGGCGTTTTATGGAGGGAATTTTATACTATCTTTTGCTAAATATCTCTCTCAAAGATTTAACTCAAAATACTTTCTCTTTTTGTAGCCTGAAAACATCCTATGTGTAAATCACACAGGAAACCAGATTAAAATTATTGACTTTGGATTAGCAAGGAGGTAAGAAAATTCAGTTGTGAATTATTTTAAAACACAAACCTCTGGCATGTTTCTGATGGTTCTTTGGTGGGGGGCTGTGTTTTGATGGCTCTGTAATAATTCTGTGTGAGTGAGCTAAACATTATGCTTTTGCAGGCTTGAGTTTTCTGCTGTGTGCATTAATTATCTAATTACTTTTTCAAATACCATTTCTCTTGGATAAAGCTTTACTGCTGTTCTAATTATCTCAAAATTATTCCCTATGTAGAGATTTTACTCTAGGGACTCTGTGAAGGCTCCCAGAGACTTCTTGACTGCAGGGTTTCATGGTGCAGGTTCTAATTGCAGAAATTATCTGCTAAACTCTTTAAGTAGCTAAGTTGATTGAAGCAAAAAAAAAAAAAAAGTGCATTTGAGCCATCCCATGTGAAACAGGAAACCCTCAGAAAGATAGGGACTCTTCTCCATTCTTTTATTTTCCTTGCATGAGTTTAAAGAAAAGCTGTGAGAGCATAAGTCAATTGCCCTAGAATAAAACGGAATTATTTCTATTACTAAGACAGAAAGAACAATAATATTTCTCTAATTATTTTCTAAACCCTTTGAGATTTTTCTTAAGCTAAAAGCTGGTACATTCATGCATATATATATATATATATATATGTATTTATATGCTTGTATGTACGTATCTGTTGAAGGACTTTTATTCCATAAAATACATGTGAGAGAAAAAAAAGTACATTGAGTTTGGGGTTTTGTTTGGTTGATTTTTAAATTGGGAGTGTAAAGATACAAGCTTCTACTGATGCAGTTTTGTGAACAAGACCATCCAGGAGAAAGAGATTTACAAGCAGTGCTGTAGGGGTTTGTTTGTCTGAGCACAGATGTGACTCCAAGCGCTGTCAGTGGCAATTGGTACTGGCTGAGTTTCACAACCTCTCCCCATTTACCAATAGCAAAAAGAATAGAGTCATTTGCCCCTGTATGGGGTCACTGTTACTTTGGAGCCCAAATAATCCTCTTCAGGCCCACCTTAGTAGTTATATTGTGTTCATATCTGTGATGCAGATGTTTACCCTGAGCTGTAGCTGGGTACATCCCACTAATCAAATGCTCTCCAAATCTCATATAATCAAACCTGCTTTGTTTTATGTTTTATGGATTTTGGACAACATCTGCTGGAAGGCATGCTGTGGTGCCTGGCAGAGGGTAAAGCTGCTACCACTCTTTGGGGGAGCCCTTTGCAGGGTTTAGTGTCCTTGTTCTTCCTCCTGGCTTTGCTCTGGCAGGGGGATAATGATGGAATAATGCCCTGAGGTGACCCCAGTGCTGCCCTGGCTGCTGGGCACTCAGCTCTGCCTCCCCAAAGCCTTGCCTTGCTGAGAGGAGCTCCCCACTCCTCACTGTGGCTCTTTTCCCTGTGCAGGTACAAACCCTGTGAGAAGCTGAAGGTGAATTTTGGGACTCCAGAGTTCCTGGCTCCCGAAGTGGTGAACTATGACTTTGTTTCCTTCCCCACGGACATGTGGAGTGTGGGGGTCATCACATACATGCTGTGAGTGAGCCCTGCAGGGCAGGAGTGCAGCAGCCACTGAGCCCCTCTGCCTGTGACTCCTCTAATTAATTCTGTTAAAACCCCCAGCTTTTCATACAGAGGCACCTCACTGTGTGTCCAAAGTGTCTAAACAACAAATGATCCTTTTGATAAATATGTAAATGTTCTTCTCCCTTATCATCTTACTTAGCAAAGTAAAATGGGTCAGGTCTTCTTTTTTTACTCTGAAAAGTTGCCCAAAATATGTGAGAATTCTAATTTTGATTGTGTTTGTGAGGACTTGAATTATTTTTTAAATTTTTAATCTGATCATTTTATAATCTTAGACTTGGTATGCATTTGCACAGGAGAATTATATTATTAGAATATTATCTGTGTTAAGCCATGGGTCTAAGAAATGACCTGTCATGAATAGGGCTAAAACTTTTCCATGATGTCTGGATGGCAACCATGGACAGCTTTTCTATACCAAGTCTCTACCTTCTGATGAGCTTGTTTTGCATCCCAGAATCTTTCACATACATTTTCTGTGAACTGGATTAATTTCTGGTTTAAATTTGTATGTTAGCCAAAACCCAACTGAATAAAGTAATAAATGATGGAAGCAATAAATCTGGGCTTAGAAACTACCTGTAAAAAGTAATTTATTGTTCAGAATTGTGTTTAATTCAAGCCACGTATGGATATGGGCCCTGATTTGGGGAAGCTCTTGAGTCCCTCTAGCTTTCCTAGCTGGGAAAGCACTGAAGGATGTACCTAAATCCTCACTGAATCCATTCCTTGGGGATCTATTAATGGTGCTCCCTGGCCTGAGTGAACTGCTAGGGGGTAACACTAAATTACAACACTGGATTGCCCCACACTGTTGTCTTATCATGGCAGGGACTGAGAAGTGGAACCTTCCATGAGATAACAACAGTTATAAAGCAGATGATTCATAGAAGGAAAAACACACCTTGCATATGATAACTCTCTTCTCCCTCTACTCATCTTTTTCTTTTTTTTTTTTTTTTTTTTTAAGGCTTAGTGGGCTGTCCCCATTCCTGGGAGAGACTGATGCAGAGACAATGAATTATGTAGTCAATTGCAGCTGGGATTTTGATGCAGAAGCATTTGAACAGCTCTCAGAGGACGCCAAAGACTTTATTTCCAGACTGCTTGTGAAGGAGAAAAGGTACCTCTGTGTCTGATTTGTGAGGACAGTAGCACCAAAGACATTAAATTCTTACCAGCCAATTGTTTGGATTGCAGCCAACAATGGGAACTTAGTATGTGACATTTTTGTGTGCTGGCTCTGGGCTTGCTGGGCAGCTCCTCAGTGATTCAGAAGTCTCTGTTTTAAAGGAAAGTGTCTGTGTACCCTAACTGGAGAAAGTTGCTTTTCCCAGTAGCATCAGTACAGGTAGAACACAGGAAATCTGGAAAGATGTGCAGTAGAGTAATCTGTCTCTAAAGCTTTTGCCTCTCTGAGCAAAAACTATTTCTATTGTTAGTTTGGACTCTCACAAGCCTTGATAGAAATTGCAAAAATGGCTCTTGAATGCTATGGAGGATAAATGGAAGCTGCAGCTGTGAAAACGTGCATTGTTCTTTTCTAAAGTGGTCTACAGGCTTTTGGGAGATATTAGGGAGCGTTTGGAACTTAACTCTGCTTGTGGCTTCTCATTCTTGGCTCCACTGAGATAAAAAGTGATTGCACAAGTGAAACAATAGAGAGAAGGAGGATCATTTTGATGTCAGACCACGGCTGGGGGGTTGGCTGGGTACAGAAATTTTTCTCTTGCTGAGTAGTGATACAAAACTAATCAAATCAGGAAATGATGCATGCAGTAAAATAGATTGTGTGTTTGAGAGGAATTAAAAAGAGTGCATAGAATATTAACAACTTCCAGATCATTACCTAAATCAGACAAATCAGTTCTAGTACTAATTCCATTTTGAACAATAGGTTCTTATGAAAAACAGAGAATTAACTGAAATTTAGCATATTGCCAGCAGGAGAGATCTAAGGATTTTTTTCTCAGACTGTAATGATGATTTCCTGTGACTGCAAACATTGGAGTCTGTTTTTTCTGTGCAATGGGATATGGGTGTCCAGAGGAACACTGCAAAGTCTGGTTAGAAGCTGTGAATAAAATGCTGTGAGAGAAGAGTGTTGTCAGTGAGTTGCGGAGAGCAGTGATTAGTTGGCCCAGTTGTTCACAAGGTGTGTGGCAGCCTCTGCTCTCCTGCAGCCCAGGCACCTTTGCCCTGCTGGGACAGTGGGTCTGGCCTTGTGCAAGATCTGCAGCCTCCTGCCCTGACTGCTGAAATCAGGGTGAGCAGGCAGGAATTGTCTTTTCATCATCTCAGTGACAGCTCAGACAGAGCTCAGGAGTTAGGCACAGGCTTTTGATTTGAGAAGAGGCAAATTAAACTTTTATCTCAACACCTCCACCTCCAGATTTCCTCTATTACCATACACTTCTCAAACCTTTTAGGATAGGCTGTGGCATTTGGGCCCATTGTTGGATGTCACGATATAAAGTATGTGTAGCTTAGGGTGAATAGACAATTGTGCTTTTAAATACGAGGCACAGAATCAGCTTGTGCTGTCAAGACAGATAACGCCACAAATGTTACTTTTCTGTTAGCAAAGTTCTGAATTTGCATAATAAAGTGATGCATTATGAACTTAACCCCAGCTGAACCAAGGCACTGCAGAGCCAGCAGCACTCCTCCATCCCACTCACCCTCCTGCTACACAGTGCAGGATGCTACTGGGGTCCCATGCACAGGGATGAACATGGCACTCTGTTCAGCCACTTGGGGCAGTTTGTTTGTCCCCGTTGGAGGCAGCACGGGGCACTGAGGTGAGCAGAAGGGGCTGGCTTTTCACGGCACATCCTCCCCGCAGCTGCCGCATGAGCGCGACGCAGTGTCTGAAGCACGAGTGGCTCAGCAACCTCCCTGCCAAGGCCCAGCAGTGCCAGCTCCGCCTCAAGTCCCAGCTGCTGCTGCAGAGCTACATGGCCCACAGGAAATGGAAGGTAAATACACAAAAGCTGCCAAATCTGCTCCCACTGGGAAAATCAGCCCAGCACAGGCAGAGCCATTCCCTCCCCTTTAGGGTGGCTCACTGGTGCCCACAGGCTTCTTGGTTGTAAGTATCAGTTGTGAAGTCTGTTTTTACCTGTAAATGAAGTGTTTTGTCCTGCAGAATGAGATTGCTTCTATTTCTAGCAAGTTTGTGATTGGTGTTTAGAAGTTTTTTACACCTTTCTTTCTACATGTTCACAGGCTTCAGATGCTACTTGATATTAAAAGTTCATTCTCTTCATGGTTCTTCCATTGCTAACAGTTGCATTGATCTGTTGTCACTAAGGAGTAGGGATATAACTTAAGGCAGTTCGTGCCTCCCACTGTAGAATGGAAGTGTGGGAGAGAGGAAAAAAATTAGGCTTAAACCCACTGAGAGAACTCTTCAGGATCTTACTGATAACACCAGTCTCCTGCTGAACTAAGCTTTTATGAATTAATAGGTAATAATTTGTACTTGAGTCTCTATTTGATTGTTGATAATTGATCCTAAAAGGTGAACACAGCGATCTTGTTAGAAAGAAGCCTGTGGAATTGTGAGGCAAACTCAGTGAGGACCATTTCCTTCTCTTCTGTCACTGGGGGGTTGCATTTCCTTGCCAAAAAGTTAAACCAGAGGCTTACACTTTTTTCAGTCCTGCACTGCAACTGCTTGGTAGCAAACTTCTGCACTTGCATTTTAAAGATGACACAATCTAAAGATCTGTCACTGTACAATTCATAATAACACTGAAGAACCTCATAGTGCAGCTGCTGTGCAGGAACCACTGCAACCCACACAGGTTGGGGGCCACTAGAGGGAAATGGATTTACCAGGAAGAAAAATCCCTGTCAGCTGCAGAAAAGTTCCTTTGCCTTGGTTGCACTCACACTGGGACTGTTCTGCTCTGTTCACAGAAACACTTTTATGTGGTGGCTGCTGCTAACAGGCTGAAGAGATTTCAGAGTATGTCTGTCAAGCTTGCATGAGCTTGTGTGAAACCTCCACCACTCCTGGAGATGGACACGAAGCTGTGGAAGGAGGACTCAGTGTCTTCAAACATTTCTATCCCTGTTTTATAACATAAGGTTTTGCATCTGTCTTCCTCAATTATTTTGTGTGTTAGTGCTGCGATCCCAGAAGTGCTTTAAGGAAGAAATACAAGATTTCTAAAAGCAGAAGCTACTTCGTTTGTTTTTACAAGATTTTAGTTGTTCTATACAGTGGTGGAAAAACGTGGTTGTTACTGGGGCTGACTTCTTGCTGAAGGCTTTGATTCTGCAGAGTATTTTTGGTGTGTTTATAGCAGTAAACCCCTGGCAGTTTTCTAGTCTCTCACACCACACCCGGGATCTCTAAAGACTTTCTTCCTGACTGACGTGTTACCAGCTTTAGAGAACTGCCACACAGTGGCACAACTTGTCCCTCAGCTGTTTGTTACTTAAAAGATACAGACATTGTTTTCTCCTGTATTTATTTCCAAAAGGTAATTTCCCCACAACATGAAGATGCTTCAGTGCAACTCCAGCTTGGATGGTTTTGGTTTGTTGTTTGGATTTTTTATTATTCTACTCTATCCTTTCAAAAATATTCACTGCATAGTTAGGAACTATGAGGAACCCTGGTTTGAAGTAACTCAAGTCAGTCCATTGCTGCTGTTTCTTAGGGCAAATTGAATTGAGCTGAACTGATTGAACTTCTGGAAGGAGATGTGTGAAACTGCCATGAATACAAATCACCTAATGACTGTTGGGTCTATGCAAAAAGATCTCATATTGTAGCGAAAAGAGGAAAGCAGAGATTTTATGTTTTTAAAACTTGTAAGTGCTTTTCATTGTTCATGACTGCAGCACTTAAAAAACTTGCTAAGTTTTAGTATGAGGATTTGTTTCTCCTCTCTGGAAATTTTAATGCAGTCTGAGAAGCTGGTATGGTGTGACATGCAAAACAGGTTTCATTTCTAATAGGTTCAGTGACAGGCAAACAGAGTTGCCTCTGCCTTTGGTCCAGTTAGGAGGTTGAAGCCCTTTTTTCCCCCTCACTTTGCTCTTGAACATTAAACCTTTTCTTCACAATACTAACTTATTTTGGATTTGAAATTCTTTTCTTATGTGTAGAGTGGGAGCCACTTACAATCTCTCAGATAAAAGTACAACACTGTTTATTAAACCTGTGGTTTCCTGTTCTGGATTCTGAAAAACTCAGTGTGAACTGGATGGGCTCTTAGGAAAAATGGAAACTATTACTAAAAGTAGCTTTCCAGCAGACACCCTGTAAAGCTCCTTTGGACTGTATGGACTTTCACATCCCTCGAATTTGCAGAAGTGTTGGTTGCTAGTGATGAGTGATGACTGGCTTACTCTACTCTAGCTATCTTTTCCTCTCAAGTGCTTCTCACTTTGCATAGTCCTGACTTCTCCAGCATTTCCAGAACTGGGACAGAGAAGAATCTTGATAATTTATCACCTTCTATGAAGGCCCACTTTTGTTCATGTTTTCCTTTCACAGTGTTTCTGCATGCTGAATTTCATTGTATTCATCAGTCTGTATATTTTTGAATTAATACTAATAAATTTCATGAAAGAATATTAATCAGCTTTGGTTTAAGCCCCCCTGCCAAACAATCTTGAAAGTATTTCTGGGTAGGTGCAGAGATACAGACCAGGCAGAAAACATGCAAGAGAAATGGAACAAAGACCTCTTCCCTAAGCTTATGACTGCAAGACACAAAACATCTGTTACCCAGTCAACATCCCTTTCCTCTGGATATCTTCCTTCTTAAGGCACAGGCATCTCCTCCATGTTTATTTTGCATTCCAAGTACCTGTGCCAAGAACATGATGTCATAATACAGAGCTTTTCCTTTCAGGACTTTCATTGTTTCTTGGAATATTTGGGACCTCTTACAAAAGCACAAGAGATTTCATTCCTATATACATGAAAGCAAGTCAAATTCATTGACTAAACAATATTTATTTGAAAAAAAATCAAACCAAAAAACTACAAAAATAAGGCTTTATTTCTCTTCTGGCTTTGCAGTTTAACAAGGCACTGTTAGTCCCCTTCCTCTTATTTCACTGACTGCTTCCAGCCATGGGCCCAAGGGCCTGATAATTTATTTACACTTAAAGTAGCATTAGAATGTTACCTGCTTCTTGCAGCAAGAGAATGAAGCTATTCTACTTCTAATGCCACAGCCTGGTGAGCAGCCACACACATTTCCTGAAAAATCCCATCAGTCCATGGTGTCATTTATTAAAAATAATATCCTTAAATACTTAAAACCTAAATAAAATCGGCTGTCTGCCAGGCAACCATTGCTCATATGCTACTGGATCTCTTGTTAGAGCAGAGTTAAAATTAAGAGCAAGCAGCAGTTGCATTACTGGGTGCCATTACAGAGTCAGTACTCCTTGTCTCTTGTGCCTTAGCAGCGTTTTCCAGGATTTTTTTTTTCCATTCTTCATAGTCCTGAGTTGTTTCAGTCTTTGCCCGTTTACATGGCACGTCCTCATCCTCTTCAGAGCCTATGAGGAAACCAGCAAGCCCATGAGAGGCCATTGTGGGCAGCACGCTGCTGGGGATAGCAGGCAGAGAGCAAATGTACAGACAGCAGGAGGGGGCTGCAGCTGCCCTTCATTCTGCTGGGACCACTCTCTATAAACTCCACTGTCCTGCTGCCAGGCTCTCTGTGCTTCCACAAAGGTGTGCAGGATTGAGAGAGCTGCTGTGAGCTGGAGCATCATGGCCCACCACACAACTGAAACAGCAAGAAAGCTCAGAACTACTCCAGGGAGGTGATTTTCACTCACAGCTAAGCACAACTTACCATCTTCCTGCTCACACTGCTCCAGGGCGCTCTGCAAGCTGTCAGGTGTCTCTGCAGCCAGTGGAACATCTTCTAAAAAAACAAGTAAGTTGCATTTGAATGGTGTTTTGGGCCCCAAGGGTGCCTTAAATGTAATTCTTTGACAGCAGTGCCACCTTCCACAAGTATTGTTGTCCAGTCAGAGCAGTTCTCTGGTCCAGAAGGATGCTCAAGCTCTACAAGAGGTGCCAGCACTTTAAGTATGGCATGGACTGACTGGCTGCTTTAATTAGCAGGCTGCTAATTAGCAGCAAACTGCTGCTGTCTTGGTAACCACAATGATCCACCATATTCATTGCCCCAAACCACACTGCTCCCCTTCTAGGTCACTCAGGCAGGATTATCAATTATTTCTTTCCCTTCTATTCCATTCCCACAAACTTTATAGATACCCACAACGGGCAGGAGGCTGTCCAGGTGTACAGATGGACATTCCTTCATGAATTCTTATGTAAATTCCCAGTTGTCCTTAGATGCTTTAGTGCTGGGGTAATGTTTGAGTCTTTATAGGGCAAATGCCTAGAGAAAGTAGAAGCTTTTGGGTTAGATTCAGGCAGCATGTTGCAGAAAACATCAGAGTATGAAGACCCAGTGAGAGAATATAATTTTCAGTGGGAAAATAAGAAATGAAAGCCTGGGAAAGGAAAAAGAAGGAGAAAGCAGCAGAAATACAATGACATTAGGGCACATACTGTATTTCCCCCACAAAAAGCAGCAGAGAGCTGCATGCTCAACAATGGGCAAAAAATATTTCTGACATCTGCTCAGTGTATGAGGGGTGGTCCCAGGGAATGGCTGAGTTGGTACCAGAAGAGCAAGGCTTATGCTTGTTAATCTAGCAGTGGGGGAAAGGAAAGCACAGGAGTGAGTCAGCCTGAGGAAGATGTTTGTGGTAATTTGTGTGTCAGGTTGCCATGTTAACAGGATGCAGAAACCAGGCAAGAGGGAGGAATCCAAGATAGGTCAGGTACTATGGGAGAAGCAAGGAATAAATTGCAGCAGCAGAGATTGTAAAGAGCAGTAAGCATTTGAGAAGAGAGGAAAATATTATTTTTGTCCTTGCCACTTTTTCCCTTTTTTGTCCTTGCTAAGTGACTTCTCCAGAAGCAAGGACTGTGAGTGGAACTGGGCTGCAGGAATGGATGTTGGAATGGATGGGCAGGTTTGGCTGAAAGGGGACAGACTAAAATCACCAGTGGAACAGGATGGGGCACTGTGAGGCCATGGGATGGGTGTGCTGCCTTACAGGGACAAAGCCAAAAACTTACTGCTGAGTTGCTGACTTATCTTCCCCAGCTGATTGCACATCCGGTCAAATATTGCTTTTTTCACTCCAGATGTAGCCAACATTTTAGTTTTGTCCACTTTTAGCTTCAAACACCTACAAGAGAAAGTTGTCTCTGTATAAAGCAACATTCCAGCAACACTCACTTAGGTGAGGTGATAATTACTGTACCAACACTGCCTGTGAGAATGAGGGAGGCATTTCCTGACTTTTTGTCCCACCTATCCTTGTTTCACTCAGAAATAAATCTGCTTAAAAGACAGACCCTACACTACTCAGTCAATACAGCTCAGCTGAAACTCAGGGTGAGTTCAACTTACATAAGGAGTTGTTTCAGGAAGAAGTAACTTTTCAGATTTTCAGGGAACCAGGACAAAATGCCACTACAACAAAAAGCTGAATGTGACTGTGTGTCAAAGCAGCTCTTGTCAGGAGCTGTGCAACTACACAGCACCTGCACTGCTGAGTAAGACTGTCACATGGTGTAATGCTGAGGGAGGAAGATCTTTGCATACAAGCAAATTCTTCCCGAGTGCTGGCTGAGTCACACACCTCTCTTAGCTGACAGGGACCTACAGTTATCAAAGCCATCTCCCAAATGCTACAGCACCCTCAGGACGTGATGGTGTAGCTCTTGGAGTTTTTCCTTCTTCAGAATGGCTGCTTCTTGGTGCTCAGAAGCCCTTCTTCCACCTTGAGCAGTATTTCACCAAAAGCCATGTAAGTTTTTGCTTTGTGCAGTGCATGTTGAAGTCTTCACTGTGAGGAAAGGCGTGGTTTGCTCCAGCTGTCTCCCTTTGCAGGAGCAGGGCAGCAGGATATGCTAAGCAAGACCCTGAATGAATGAGCTGCTGATGTCTCAGCAAGTATTTCAGCCTGTAGAAGGTCTCCCAGGCCACACTCACCTGCATGCAGTGCACAGAGCAGCTGTTAGAAACAGGGGTTTGGAGAAATCCAGGTCTGCTCGCTGTGCTTCGGAGAGGCTGCATTCGTACCTGGGAAACAGCAAGGGATAACTGCACAGTGCATCTGCCTCACATGAAGCTCTCAAATCCATCTGTCATGTGGCACTTGGACCTTGAACAGGTCTGTTGGACCACCTGGGCCTCTGCAACCCAGTCAAGCAGAAACAGCTGCTACTGGCTGAGAGGAGCAACACAGAGGAGGAAAATAAGGGGTTGGGATGTCCTCCTCTTCTGGAATTAGAGGGATTTTAAACTGGGGATCTGGATCAAGGCATGCCAGTAAAATCTACTTCTTGTGCTCCTGATTCACACAGCACTTTTAGCTCTCCCTAACATCTTAAAATTTACAGTGACATGCTTTGCATAAATCCATCCTACAACAGAAGCTAGCATTACAGTTTCTTTGATTCTTGGAATATGTATGTTACATAGAGAAAGGCTTATAATGGAAAATGACAAAGTGGATTTGCAGCACTTAAGAATGTCATTTTCGTTGTCCACCTGCCCCAGGATATTTTTTTCTAGTTTGTATTAAGCATCACCAAGCAAGCACAGCCTTTGTGCACTGACCTAACAGCATTTAAACGTGTGCTATCAGGGTGACAGCACTGCAGAACAGAGCTCTTCAGGGACTGCTTTGGTTAAAGCAGATGATGCAGAATGGAAAATTTTACTTAATTCTGTTGAATCTTCACTGAAGTGTTTTACAGGTAGAGTGATATGCATTTTAAGAGATCTGTATCCCCAGAAGAGAGGATTTATTTCTACTGAGCATTATTTCTAAACTGTGCCATGATCAGCAGTTAAATGGATGACAGTGTGATGCTATGGGCAAATACAGTGATTAATAGTCCTATATTTTTACACTATTCTCAGCTGAAAAATTCTGAGTTGGACAAGGACTTGCTGAGATTCACAGACTAAGTCTTTCTAACAGGTATTCTAAAAAGTGGTCCAGCTCGTGGCTGGATTTTCAGTGCAAAGAACTCAACTCAGTACTCCAATCACTAGGAGATATCAAGGCCTTTACACACCTGAAGAACAAAGAACCTTACTTGTGGTTCCCAGTGTGCCCACAAGAGCTTCCTTACCTCTGCAGGATTTCTGAAGCCATATTCACTGCCTCTGAGCAGCAAAACTGCACAGCCAAGTCTCGCATCCCCAGCCTTTGGTTCACCTCCAGCAAACACTCCAAAGACTTCATGGAGCTCTGGTAAGTGGTCTTGTTCAAACCAGAGAGTTTAACACAATAGCTCTGTCAAGAAGACAAAGAAAAGCCTCAAGAATTAGCAAGATTCCTTCCTAACATCTTCATCAGGCAACCAACACTACCATTAAGTTCAGTTGTTACATTAAACAAATTTGTGCAATGAATAATGTATGTTTTGACTGCACACAGAAAGATTAACCACCTAAGAATGCCACATCTTTTAATGCAGTGATATTTTTAGACTGTTTCACTGGAAGTGAGGTTTCATATTTCCATATATGACATGACCCCTTTATCACTAACAAGGTAGTTGGTGACAAAATTACCAAAGTCTGGGTTGAAGACATGAGCAACACTTTCTCGGAGGTATAATTAAATTCTCCTCTGCTGTAAATGGACAATCATGAATAGGTCGTACCAGGCATTATTTTGACAGCTCAGTGCTATTCACCTGGCAGATTTACAGATGGAGGTTTACAGGTAACCCCTAAAGTGAGAGATTTCTTGGAGCAACTGCTTTCTTCCCACAGTAAGCTGAAATTACACCAAAGGAAGCTCAACTTGTCAAGGGACTATAGCAGTGATCTCAATTTTCACTGTTTCAAATTGAACAGTGAAAGGTCTAACACAGCAAACTGCGGGATTTAGGGGAAAGTTAGTTATTATTTCCCATTCCTGCTCCCACCACACACTAGAGAACAATGGTTTTGTGGAGTCAGGCAGAATGCACCAGCTAGCCAAGTCACACACTCGATCTTACTTTGTCAACTGGTTGTTTCATGAAACTCGCCGCCAGGTCCAGGCACATCACAGCACTGCTTGTCGCCGTCATTTGAGCCATTAACCCCGTGCACTTCACCTGGGACAGCCGCAGATACTCCTCAGCTTTTCTGCAAAACACCCAGAACACAAAGCCCTCGTCAAAACCGCAGCTACGAGGCGGAATGTCCGGCAGGACTCGAGCCAAGGTTCCGCAGTCCGGCTGCAGCACGGCCTTAGGGCCGGGGGTGCTGAAGGGGCAGCGCTGCCGTTTCTCTGATGATGGGCACAGCAGCAGCAGCAGCTTTGCACTGCAGGGCCGCCCGTGGCTGTTCCACTGCGCCCGCGGCCCCGGCACTTCCAGCACATCCACCGGACCCAAGGCGGGCACGGCTACCCGGGGGAGCGGCGGGCGCTGCTGCGGTGCCGGGCACAGTGCGGGGGAACAGAGAGGGCCCCGCCCGGCCCGACTCGCTGCCCTGGGCGGGAACAGCACGGAGCCGGCTGCGGGCACGGGAGAACGGAGCGTCCCGCGGGTCCGGCGGTACCTGAGCAGGGCGGGCTCGGCCAGGCCCAGCCGGGCCGCCATGGCCCGCACGGCCCCGCGCTCCATCGCCCGCCGCGCCTGGCGCGCACGCAGCCCATTGGCCGCCCGCGCCGTCACTCACCGCTCGCTCCGCCAATGGGCGCGCAGAGCGGCGCTTCCTCGGAGCGGGCCAATGGGCGGCGCCCGGCGGCGGGGTGGGGCGGTGCGCGCGGCGCAGTCACATGACGGGGCGGTGCTGGCGGGGGCGGCGGCGGCGCGACCATGGTGAGGGGCAGCGGCCGGGGGCAGCGGGGCGCCGGGGAGCCCGTGCCACGGGCGGGGCTGCGGCTGCGGCGGGACGGAGGGGTCCGGCGGCCGAGGGACGGGCCCGGTCTGGGCCCGGGGCAGCGCCCTGAGCGGCCGCGCTGGGCCGGCGGCGCGGCGGGCCCGGCCGGGTGCGGGGCTGCAGCGGGCGCGGAGGCCGCACGGTCCGGCCCGGGCGGGGCTGAGGTGCGGGCCGGGCCCGCCGTGCCGGCGGTAACGCTGCCCGCGGCCTGGGCCGGGTTACCGCCTCGCTGGGCTCAGCCCATTTGCTCGTAGGGGCGCAGGGGAGGGTGGTGTTTTACTGGGGAATCGCGGCCGTAGCAGCGGTCAGTTTCTCTCTATTTTGCCGTGCTACCCCTGTGTTTAACCCGGGCTTGTGTCATTGCCGGTTCTGTGTACGTGTGCCGAGGTTGTCCGCCTTGCAGCCTGCGCTCCAGTCCCTCCTGACCCTCCAAGACTGCTGTCGTAGGCTTCCCGAGTAAACTTCCTTTCTTTTCCGGCAGAAGAGGTGGTTGTGCATTGGTGGGCGCAGCTCATTAGCGCTCTTTGCCGCAAATGTTGGGGTTTGTTAGGCAGGGAGGCTGCGAGGTGAGGGTCAGCCTCTTCTCCCAGGCAATTAGCAACAGCACAAGAGGGCATAATCTTAAGATGTGCCGGGGGAGGTTCAAGCTGGACATTTGGAGAAATTTATTGACAAAACGGGTGATTAGGCATTGGAATGGACTGCCCATGGAGTCGCGGTACCTGGAGGTGTTTAAGGAAAGACTGGACATGGCCCTGAGTACCTCGGGCTGGTTGACAAGGTGGTGTTCGGCCGAAGGTTGGACTCGATCTTTCCAACCTCATTCATTCTGTGAAACCTGAAATTTCCACATGGAAATGAGGTATACTGAGAAATACTTTTCAGTCCTCAATGAAAAGAAAAGGATAATCAAGTTTCCTAATGAAACACACCTATATTTAATGTGCCTTCAGTAGTATATAATAATCAATAAATTTTAAGAAGCACTTGCTGTAACCACCACAATGTGTAATTAGCCTAAGTGTGGCGTGTAAACAGCACTAACAGTATATAAATAGTGAGGCAGAAAATAACTGGATGCTTTATAAGAAGGGATTGCTCAGTTCTTTTGGAACAGACTTTGTTTTTAAAGTTACGTGTATGTTGATCTCTGTGTCTTTGGGGCTGGGCAAATCCTGTACTATTACTGGAAAGAGGAATGTTAAACACTGAATTGGGTGATGAGAAATGCTAAATCTATATAGCCACTAGTCTCTGTCCCCCACACAAATATTTTGTGGTAGTCATTAATTCAGCAATGAAGCTACTTTTCTCTGCTTGTCATTTCCATGGGAACTGGCCAGACACTTGTCTGGTCTCATGGCTTCTTTCTAAGAATAGCTGTTGTCAGGTGATTCAGGAAAAAGTAAAGTTACAGATGTTGAACATAGGATAATCACAGGTGTTAAGCATGGGATAATTCCCTGTACCAAAATTAGTCTTCCCTGTGATTTCCTGTGGCTGAGCTTGGTTTAAACCTTGAAGCTGAATGCTTAAGTACCTTTAACATGACTTGTTTTAAGAGGGCTCTGGCTGCTTTTGATCATACACTGAATAAAAAGTCCATCTCTTTAATACTTAATAGTGTCCTGTGGCTTTCTTTAGCAGTAAGTACCAGTTTCAACACGTGAAAAATGCTTTAATCTCTCTGGTCTATCTCTGAGCTCCTATACTGCAAGATGTAATAGAAGTTCTGGAACCTACGGTGTTGCAGAGAAATGCTTCCTGTATGCTATCAAATGCTTATGGTTTTTGTTGGTTTTTTTGGTAATTCCTTCAATGTGTTACCCAGCAGTGCACTGTGCACCCAAGCTTCAGCTGCAGGCTGGCACTGTCCTGATCTGCTGCTGTAGCTCACCCATCGTCTCTCTTGGGCAGCAGACATTTGAAATGTCTCAGCAGGGATGTGTTGGCAGGTAGGCTTAGTAACATCCAGCTGGGAGGAGGCAGGAAAACCTCCTTGGGTAAATGTCATTCCTTGTGGTATTCAGTACAGGTGTGTGAGCAAAAGAAGGAAGTGCCATGTGGAACAGGCTGTAAGCACATTAGTTAATGGAAGAAAAGGATTTTTGGAGATTAGATGAAAATGCACTTTAGAATGGAATGGAAGCAAAACTTTTTAGTCATTATTATTTATACTCTATGTGCAACTTAAGGCACCTGTGTGTCAGAACATGAGCTTTCAGGCTTGACAAGCTCCCTTGAACTCTGCTGTCTTTCAGTACTGTGTCGTTCTTGAGTACTCCAAGGTACCAGATTTTTAAGTGAAATAAGCCAGCACATTGGTTATTATTTTGAGCCCTCTCTAGAGTGCAGCTCGGTGTCAAATACGGAACTAAAAATGAATCTCATGGAACTGAGTGTTAGAACATGACTAAATCTTACACAATAGGTGCAATGTTTGGTTTGTATGTTCAGGAGTAATTGCTGTTATGAGAATAGGCATGATCCAGAATAATGTTTGCTGCTGCAGTAATAGACTTCCCTAATTGTTATCTGCAGGATGACTTGTATTAACTGTTCTGGTCAGCTGGTTTCAAACTGTTTTAGGCTTTAAAAAATTGTTTTCCAAGGCAACTTACAGTTTCGTTTACTAGCCTTTATTAAAAAAAACCCAAAAAAACAAAGAAAACCTGAAAGGAACAAAAAAGTATACAAAAAAACTCCACACCAAAAGCTAACTTTCCTCACCCCCCTCCACATTCATCTGCTGTAAATTTTGACTTCCATAACCTACTTGCATGTGGTAACTTTTGCTAGCCGTGTTCAAAGCTAGCAAAAGGCTTTTGTCTCTTGTGCAGAAGCTGCTGGTGCAGCTGGGGGAGGCAGTTCTGTCCCTTCTCCACTGCTCACTGGCTTCCTCATTGCTTCAGAGGAAAAATGAGTAAAGCAAAACTCTTCACATCAACTGTCCTTTTTTCCTACAATATTTGCAATGTATCTAGTGTGGGTATAGCTCAAACATTTCTGGAGTCTAAATAGCTGCATAGTTCCTATAAATTGCTTCTCTTGTGCCCAGGCAGGAGTTTGTACCTTACTGTACATGTGGTTGACCAGGCAGGATATTCTGTACTGCTGCTTTTGCTCAGGGTCAAAGTATCTTCCACTTCAAAAGCTGATGTTCAGGACTTGTAGATATTTTTGAAGATGGGCCTAGGACTCCACAGCTGCTTTTTTGATAAAATGACATTTGAAAATACCATCTTATGTTACTAGGTTGGTAATTTAAGTGTAAGATGCAGAACATAAAAATACAGCTTTATTCAACATGGAGTCTGACAGAACTGTGTTCAGATTCAGTGTGTGCCCTGCTGGATGTCACTGGTAGGCTTTTGCTCTATGTTCTCTTTCCTTCTTTTGCCTTTTGTCACCACAGCTTCAAGCTTCAAGCTTGTGTTAGTAGGATATATGTGTCTTGATGTGATCTTGTGTATCACTCGATAATAACCAGGTTGTGTTTGGGAACCCCTGCAGTTCTAAAGCTGAAAGTATCTTGAAGTTGGAAGAAAAGGGTAGCTGATACACATTCAGACTTTGAAAAGGAGGAGTTGGAACTTGTTCACTGGTGCTGCTGTTAAGATGTTTTCTATTCCTACAGAAGTAAAGCTGCTACAAACAATCCCTCAAATGACACAACTGCTCCTGTTGTATGCTTTTGACAGCAGTGTAGTTTATTTTGCTACCCATGCCACTCGAAAATGCTGCAATTGTATTTTCTTCAGACATAAAGTATAGTGCCCTTGTAGTAAAGACATCTTTGTTTAGACTCATCACCTTCTCAGTCTTCAAATCAGCACATATACAAATTGAATTTTCCTCTTTCTTGATTCTCCCTATCTTGGAGAGATACTGAAGAAATAAGTTAATATCTTGTGTTAATATGGAAATGCTTCTGTTGATTAATTCAGTATTTATTCCCGGTGTTGAATACTGTAAGGAACCTGGCTATTCAAATTTAGAGCAGAAATGGAAGTGTTCTGTCTTCTGCTAATGCAGACAGAGTTAGATGTAAAGCTGGCACTCAATTTTTTCCCCAACTGCTGCTGAACTACAGTGGTTAAAGTTCTGTAAGAAGATACAAATATATCTGCTGAGTTCATAGCTAGTATGATGAAAAGTAGAGTCCCAACCTTCTTGTAGCCATGATTCTAAAACCAACATGTTTGCACACCAAAAGTGAGGAAACCAATGCACGTGGACTCAGCCAAATACTTCTTGGGGTTGTAGCAAATATGTGTATGTTTCAGTAATGTTTTGGCTTGGTGTTGCTGTTCAAAACCCTTCTTTTCGTAGCCCTGCTTGCAGTGTTTTATGTGGCTTTAAGCTGAATGGTAATCTGTTAATCAGCTGGGCTTGTCTTACAGCATTTTGGATGGTTTACAGCCTAAACTGCTCTCCCAGTACTGTCTGGCCCCATGAACAGCTGGGATGGAAGAGCAGGGCTGGTGGATGTGTAAACTTAATGCTCATCAGGAGAAAGGGGCTTAGGAAGTTGTGGTTGGTGTTAGCATTGCTGCATTGTTCCTACTGTGCTTTAATAGAGATTTGATGTGGTCAGAGCATATGGCATCCAGCTCAGTAGTGATTTATTTTCTCTAAAGCACTGATATGGATTCAGGGGACTGTAGAGTGTAACCAACACTCTGGCATAGACATATTTCAGCAAGTCTGTTGTGTG